CAGGACAACTCAATACTACCCTTAAATTACCATCATGATACTCTGATCCTTAGATAAGTCCAGCCTAAATTTATAACAGATTCATTGGGACTGAAACATCTAAATTTCCCAGACTTGATAGATGGATATTCTAAACACCTCACTCAACCAGGATCCCACAGCCACAGCCGCTTCCTCATCCTGTATCAGCCAGTCTGCCTTTACAATCTCTATGGTTGCAATCCCAAGCATTGGGGGGGTGGGGATTCCACATTACTTGTCAGCTGAAGCAAGGACAACAGATCACAGCTTCTGAACCTCTCAAACTACAGTCTGCTCAACAGGGATCTTCTGCAATTACGAGATCATTACCCAATGCAGTTCCATTCAGCAACCAGCCCGGAAAGCATCATGCCAGTCTCCAGTTTTTGATCCACTGCCACCATGCCAGCTGTCTTCACCTCTATTGCTGCTACCACTACTCATTCCATTCCTCCTGCTGTCTCTGGCAACTGGTATCAATACCTCTGGCCATCCACCAAACCATCAAGGACCACCAAATACCTCCACACATCATCCATAGCATCCTCAAACTTCTCACCAAAGCAAGCCTATTAAGTAGGCATCTATCTTGGTGCTCTGATGGAGAAAAAAAAGTGTTAGGCTGCCTGCACTATTTTCTCTTCTAGACAACTTCAGTACTAAGAAGTTAAAGACAGCATGGCTGGATCAGGTTAAAAGCCTCCTCTCACATAGCATTCTCACAGAGTGACCAACGGGCTGCATTTAGAACCATGCAACCTATAATAGGTTAGTCATTTCCACTGTTATTCCCAGCTGCTCTTGAAGTTCTATTGTCCTAAATTCCATCCTCTACTCTCTGACAGACATTGATTGGCTTGTCTGCCATGAATTTTTCAAGTTCCCCTTTCCAATTTTCTACACTGGGGATCAATATCATCATCATCACAGCTGTTGAGAGATTATCCATAGTTTTGTATTGTGTCAAAAAAGTTATTCCCCTTATCATCCCTAGCGTCTCAATGAATGACAGTGGAGGTCTTCACCTTTTCTAAAAATTGTGAGAGAGGGAGAAAGGCGTCCCATTTTCCATATTTTAATGTTTTTAAAAATTTATTTAAAATGTGTATTGTCTACTCACTGTCCAGAGTTCTTTTGGTGGGTTATAAGCCATACAATAAGTATGGCTTAGATTAAAACAATAAACGCAAGTCAAAGAGATAAATTAGAACTTAGAATAATAATTATAATAGCATTGATATTAAATCTGTCATGCCAGAGTGAAAGGTCATGGACTTTTCATATGGTATTAAGAGTCCGATAATATCCTATTCGAAGGGATGTGGTGGCTCAGTGGCTAAGACACTGAGTTTGTCAATCAAAAGGTCGGCAGTTCAGCGGTTCAAATCCCTAGCGCTGCATAATGGGGTGAGCTCCTGTTACTTGTCCCAGCTTCTGCCAACCTAGCAGTTCAAAAGCACGTAAAAAATGCAAGTAGAAAAATAGGGACCACCTTTGGTGGGAAGGTAATAGCATTCCGTGCGCCTTTAGCATTTAGTCATGCTGGCCACATGACCATGGAGATGTCTTCAGACAGCGCTGGCTCTTCAGCTTTGAAACGGAGAGAAGCACCGCCTCCTAGATTCGGGAACGACTAGCACATATGCGCGAGGGGAACCTTTACCTTTACCTTTAATATCCTATTCAGTCTGTTCTTCACTTCCAAATGCTGTTCAGAATCTGAATGTACACCAAGTACCAACTAGAAGGCTTTCTTTTGACCTTCACCACTTGAATGCACAGACGAAGTGCCTACATACAGTCATTCAAGATGACTACATATTCCTAGTGGACAAGGACAATGATTTACAGTTGATGCTGAAGAAATTCCCATATGCTTCTCTTCCATTTGACTATCAGCCTGAACAAGACTGAAGTGCTTTACCAGTCTATGCAAAACACCAAGCTGATGACATCCAACTGACAAATGTAAATAGCTTCAAATGCTTGGGAAGCATCATCTCAACAGATGAGACTTTGGCAAAGAAATCATCAAGGCTAGCCAGGTACTGGGGCAGTTGCATACTAGAGTGCTCCATCAACCTCCATCTTCACAAAGCTGAAAGTCTACAGAACTGTGGCTGTCCCTTACCTCATCTATAGATTTGAGTCCTGGACTCTGTGTAAGCAAAGGGATATCCAACAATTGGAGAAATTTCACATGTACATTCTCTGCTCCATCCTTGGCATTTTTTGACAAAACCTAGGTACCTCCAACCTAGAAGTCTTGGATCACAGAGTCCACCAGCACTGAATCCTAGATGAAGAGCCCAGATGAAATGAGTTGGATCAGAATGAATGAGTACTGTAAGCCTCACCAGTTGCACTATAGTGTATGGGAATCTAGGAAGAGACCTTGAGGTCAACCACACAACTACACAGCAGTGGTGAAATCCATTTTTTTTTACTACTGGTTTTGTGGGCATGGCTTGGTGGGCCTGGCAGGGGAAGGATATTGTTAAATCTCCATTCCCACCCCACTCCAGGGGAAGGATGCTGCAAAATTCGCATTCCCTCCCCAACTTTGGGGGAAGGATATTGCAAAATCTCTATTCCCACCCCACTCTGGCAAGCCCTATGCTATGAAGTCTCCATTGGCTTTGAAGATAGGCACCAGAGGTGGGTTTCAGCAGGTTCTGACCAGTTCTGGAGAACTGGTAGCAGAAATTTTGAATAGTTCGGAGAACGGGTAGTACAAATTCTGACTGGCCCCACTCCCATCTACTGTATTCTCTGCCTCCCAAGTCCCAGCTGATCAGGAGGAAATGGGGATTTTGCAGTAACTTTCCCCTGGATTGGGGAGGGAATGGAGATTTTACAGTATCCTTCCCCTGCCATGCCCACCAAGCCATGCCCACCAAGCCATGCCACGCCCACCAAGCCACACCCACAGAACTGGTAGTAAGAAATTTTGAAACCCACCACTGATAGGCACTGCCAAAAACGATAGACAACCATCAATGTAACCACAGAATAATATACTTAGTTACTACAACAGTGGATGTTCAGTACCCACATTGTGCTAGACTTGGCACTTCCAATTTGGAATTGCAAAGCCACCTCTGTGTCCTCAGAGGAACTGCACAAGAACATGTCTTCTTTGAACTCAAAGGATTACCCTATGTATTGAATTGGGCTCAAATCCTGAGACTACACCCCTGAAGCTTTACTGCATTTTTGCTTGTTCTAGAGATATTTGACATCATAGCAATTCTTTTTCACTTTCTCAGAAATCTAAAAAGCTCTAGGCATTGTAATACCTCAATCCTATAGGACAAATCTCATCATTTTGCATTTCCCTGCTGATTAAATAGTTATGATATGATAACTCTACCAGTTATAACTTAAAGGTGCTACATGCTGAGATATCACTATGCTTATTACAGAGTATGCTGTAGTTGTATACTCAAAGTACTAAAACAGAATGCATGTTACATTTGGAACTCATTAGAAAAGCATTAGCATGTTCCATTAGAAACTCATTCTTCAAACAAATTAACAGGGCTGAAATTACTCCAGAAATCTTTTTTTTTTTTTTTGAAAAAAAAAAAGAAACAGGGCATAAATTCTGCAATTCCCCCTCATTCCAGCTTCTGTCGTTCAGATAAAATGGTTTGGTCCACACATTGCATAAAGCACTCTATTTAAAAAACAACAACAAACAAACCTGTAGTTTATAAAATAAATGAAGATTGTCTGGGTTCACACAACATGCTAAACCATGAAACACAGTTTACAAATGATACTTCATACAATCTGCTAAGCTAAAATCCATAAATCACATCAAAACAGTGGTAAACCCATTGGTAACCTGCAAGCTAGATTACTGCAGTGGACTCTTTATAGGACTGTCTTTGGATCTAGCCCAGATATTTCCTGCAAAAATTCAACCGCCGGGTTCATCTATGGAAAGAGTCAAAGGAACTATTGCATCTATGCAAAAGGCATTATGTTGGCTGTCCATCTGTTTCCAGACAATATACAAAACTTACTATTCCTAAAGCCTTAAATATCTTGGGTGTGGATCACTGAAGAAAAATTATTCCCTCTTAGCTGAGATCACTCAGGGAAGGTGAACTGCAAATGCTTCCTGCTCTAAGTTGGGATCAACCATTGTTACCAGCTTCTGATCTCTAGAATCAGAAATTATGGTGAATTTAGTTTGAAATTGTGGTTGAAATTATGGTGCAGATATTGAGTGGTATTGTAAGAACCCTTTAGTCACCATACTTTTGGGCAGTCTTAAAGTGTTGATCGGTTTTTTGTTGTTGTTGTTGTTGTTGTTGTTGTTTTAAATTTGATTTATATGCCGCCCTTCTCCGGAGACTCAGGGCGGCTTACAATGTGTTAAGCAATAGCCTTCATACTTTTGTATATTTATACAAAGTCAGCTTATTGCCCCCACAAACTGGGTCCTCAATTTACCCACCTTAGAAAGGATGGAAGGCTGAGTCGACCTTGAGCCTGGTGAAAATTGAACTCGCAGTAATTGCAGGCAGCTGGATGTTAAATGCTACCTTAGGAGGCATTAGCCTCCTACGCCACTCAGGCTCCTAGTTTAATTTTTTAATATCAATTCTGGCTTTATATTTTTAGAATATAAATATTTGATTATTTGTGACATACTTATTGTAATAGAAATAACCAAATAAATTAAGGAAGTTTTGTATGATGTACAAATGCAGACATAGCATCTGTGAACATAAAAGCTTCATTTGGTCTGGATTTCCCATCCAGAAGACTCTTGCTACACATGAAACCTCCCAAACCATTTGGAGCAGGGGTCTCCAACCTTGGCAACTTTAAGGTTTGTGGACTTCAATTCCCAGAATTCCTCATCCAACCATGCTTTGCTAGCTGAGGAATTCTGGGAGTTGAAGTCCACAAGTTTTAAAGCTGCCAGAGTTGGAGACCCCTGACTTGGAGGGTAGTTTTCTTACCTGTCTTCTTGAAGCCACAGCGCTGTTGATGCTCTTATTGCTTGGTTTGGTTTTGCTTGAGAGAACCAAATCATTCTTCCATGTTGCTGAGCTTTCTTTAGAGTCAGATGAAATGGGGTTCAGAAACAAAATCCTAGCAATCAACCCATAGAGGACAGTTGCTAAGATCATTGGTATGACATAGAATATCCCAAAGTCCATCATATAGATTGGAGAGTAGTAACTCCGAGACACTTTATACCCACAAGACACTACCGTGGCTTCTTTGTAGACTTCCCTGTTAAGATCCAGTAAGAAAAACCAGAGCATGCAATAGATAGAGGTGAACGCCCAGACAAAAATGATGATTTTTTTGGCTCTGGAGAAGGTGCATAGAAACTGGGCTTTGATGGGATGACAAATGGCAATGTACCTCTCAATAGTGAAGGCAGTAATAGAGCAAGAAGAAGCATTGATACCCAGATATTGGAGGTAAGTAATGCAGAGGCATCCAATGTAGCCATAAACCCAGAAACCATAAATGCTTTCAGTAATGTTGGGTAGTCCAGCAGCCACAAGGACCATGAGGTCAGCTACTGCGAGGCTGACCAGATAACAATTAGTAGGGGTTCTCATGTGCTTTGTCCTAAGTACCACCAATACCACCATGATGTTGCCCACAATGCCTAACCCACAAATGAGGAGAACCAAAAAGATAGTGACCACTTGGTATTCAGTAGTGACCACCTCCAGATTTGGCAGAAGTTCTGTCTCATTCTGTCCATTGCCTGTGTTGTTCTCCATTGTCGTTTGGCTGCTTCTGTCCGTTCTGGTCAACACATTTTCTCATTGCCTTCCTAGGGGGGAAAAAATTAATCATAGGGAGTCTAATGTAAGGTGGAAATTCCAGGCTATAGGCTTTACATCCCACATAGCTTAAGCCCTTGGCTTCCAACAGTGCATTGACCCGTTTACAAAAACGCACACACAGATCTGACCACCCCACAAGAAGGTCACTGTCTCCATCTCATTAATCAGCTAGATTTGGGGTTCTTTTTCTGGTAAACAATTATGCTGGAACATAACTATGATAATATTTTTTTCCTCCTAGGTTGTGAAAGAGAAGAAAGATAAGCTATCAGGGTTGGTTCTTCTTACCATTCACAGACATTCCCTGGCAGTAATGAATGACAAAAGGTCTTGGAGGCAGGTCTTTCACACTCCTGCCCCACTGCCAGTCTTGGAAGGAGGAGAACAGATTTCAAAATGGGTTGGGGAGAAATTCCCCACTTCCATGGGGGAAAGCAGAAATGCACACCTTGCCGTTTTCAGCTTTGTTTATGGCTGAACACAAGGCTTGAGCAACCCAGCTTAAGAACCCTTTGGTGTAGCTTTGGGGAAACCAGCAAGTTGATGAAAAGGAGATTTACAATTAGACAATTAGAGCTACATGCCTTGGTTATCCTAGCTTAGTTGTTGCGTTAATCAGCTCTGGCTGATAAGGCAGAGGAGATTATTCCCTTAGAGACACATCACATTTATATTAATCTACATAGGAATCTATACTGCAGGGGGAGAAAAAAATTAAAACTCTTCCATTTCCCTCTCCTTGTTCTTGGATGTAATATGCCAGGCAAAACTTACCTTCAGCTTCCTTGAGTTCTTTGAAATGAGCATGTTCTGTTTGCATAGAGGGCAGCAGCTCCGTCTCAACTTTGAGCAGCCAGAGAGAAAACCTTGTGAGGGTGATACTTTCCTCCGGCAAATGGGCTGGAGTAGATCAATTCTGTGACAGTGGGCTCAAGCTTCATGGCATCAGCATCTTCCAAGCCCTCCCGAAACGGAGCCTCTCCAAACAGCAAAGCTGTCAAATCACAAAATTGCCTATTAATGAGGGCAGCCACAAACAGTGCTCCTTGTACACAGCTTTATTCTCCGTGTGGAAGGAAAGACAACCGTTCAGTTTTAAGTCAAGAGGACTGTTTAAAATAAAACAATAAACCTACACAGACATAGCCAGTGGTCTAGGTTAGTTCTTAGAGAAGTAAGTGCTAATGGGGAAATCCAAACAGTCGTACATGTCAGGTTTGATTCCATATGAATCTGTATGCTAGCTCTTTTTCTCCCTTTCGCTGCTCGGTTTCCTGCACTGAATTTCCACATTTTGTCATATATGAGAAAAAGGATGAGGCTAGCTTCCGACTCATTGCATCTCTGAATATGGGTGGGTGTGTTTGTGAATCTAATACATATATATGTGTATGAAAAGCCCTTTTGTACCCTTATGTATTATATTGAAATTAAATTATAGCGTGATACTCCCTACGTGGGGCATTGAATTCGAAAGATAAAAATCATTTTTGAAATTCAATTGTCTTTTTTGATGTATAGGAAGTTCTTTTATGTATAGGAAGTTCTTTTGTGTCTCTTGCCTCAGTTGCAGCAATTTGGGAAATAATAACTGGCAAGGTGGCATTGATTTCTTAACAAAGCAGGAGTATGTTGTTGTTCAAAGAACTATCTTTTAAACAGTTGTTTTTTTTTTACAAAAATGTACTTTATTCTGGTTTTAACTTTCTAAAAAAGCAAAAATCATCAGTTAAGTCTGTAAGTCTGTAATTTTAAGAACTAGACATGCTAACAATATTGATGCCACACACATACATGATTGCCCCAGGAAAATAATCACATTCATGTGTAATGAAATAACCAACCCACAATCTGAATCTAGCATTGGATTCAGATTGTGAATTAATCTGCTGTCTCTCTGTCTCTCTATCATCAATCATCTATCAATCTCTTCTGTCTGTCAGTCTCTTGGTATATTTATCTGTCACTGGAATGGGTAAAGACATGGCTTAATTCCATTGATGTTGAAAGCTGAATCTATTATGGTGTGCTGAAAAAGAAGTATATGCAGTTAATATGTCAGAGACTCTCAGATATGTTCCACAGATTACTGCAGCTTCTCCACCCTGCATAGGACAGAGCAGAGACACTATATCAGCCTGATTTCTACATGCACGAACAATATGTTGCTAAACTGGGGGACAGGTAGATGGATTGTTTCTGCAAATGCAGAATACATGTGACACAAATTACCTTATTGACTAACATTTTTTGTGTGTTGGAAACCCATTATGTTTCTTGAGACCTTCTGAGGTTGTCTGAAACCTTTTGATGTACGGTATATGAGTTCCACAATTTCTCACTGAATGTTGCTATTAAAGTTCTATTTTTGTAAAGCATTATGAGGTCTGTTATGGAAGCCCATAACTTGTATAATAAGGAACCTCAAAGGAAAAAAAGACTAATAGGAAATATGAACGTAAACATCTAAAAGGGGGTGTTTGGCTAAAGATCTATTTTCCTTAAAATTTTCTAACTCAAGAGATTTGTATGGAAAAAAATTCTTGCTTAACAAATTCGTTTCAATAGTTCCATTATGACTTGAGAAACATAAAATCAACCAAGTGGTAAATAAATCCTGACTTTTCAATTACTGTTTTTATGAATTTCATTGGAAATTGAATTCACAAAGGTTGGGGTTTTTTTCCTCACATATATCAGTTGCAGTGTGGACCTCATGAAAGTGCATTTCTACAACAATACAGGATAGTAGGTATTTTTATCACATGCTTTTCTGAAGCTCTTTAAATTTGATGAGACTATGTGCCTTCACGGGACTTCATGCAGAAGGATCCCCACTGGGAAATTTCATGGCAGTGTAAACTCCCAGGACTGAGGTTTGTTAGTAATACTGTATGTCCCAGATGAAAATAGCTGAACTTTCTCAGAGAAGTGCTGGTAGGTGTCATAGTTCCTGGCAAAGTGACATGCATCAGTCAAACAAACAGGTTTTGGCAGAAGCAGTTGGATTTTTGCAGGAGAGCCAGTAGAAGGAAGCTGATAGGTGAGGATCAAGTGGTTTTCAGCACTGAGCAACTGTTGAGCAGAGTTGGGAGAAAATAAATAATGCAGGTAGAGCAGGGGTGGGGAACAATGGCTCTTTTATGACTTGTGGACTTCAACTCCCAGAATTCCTGAGTGTCATTTTAATTTCAAATGAACACTATTTTATTTATTTATTTATTTTATTATATTTCTATACCGCCCTTCTCCTGCAGGACTCAGGGCGGTGTACAGCCAGGATAAAACATAGCGTATAAAATTTTAAAACATTTTAAAAAACAATTAAATAATTTTGGCCTGAATTTAAAACAACCCAATTAAAACCGAAATTCGATTAAAAAAACTGAGAGGATGGGATCAAGCCAGCCCAGCTAGATGGAACAAGTGTGTCTTCAGGGCCCGACGAAAAGTCTGGAGGTCTGATATCGTGCGTATCTCAGGGGGCAGGTCATTCCAGAGGGCAGGTGCTGCCACAGAGAAGGCTCTCCCCCTGGGGGTCACCAGCCGGCACTGCCTGGCCGATGGCACCCTGAGGAGGCCCTCTCTGTGTGAGCGAATCGGTCGGTGGGAGGCTATTGGTGGCAGAAGGCAGTCTCGCAATTACCCCGGCCCTAAGCCATGGAGCGCTTTAAAGGTGGTCACCAACACCTTGAAGCGCACCCAGAAGACCACAGGAAGCCAGTGCAGCTCGCGCAGGAGAGGTGTTATATGTGAGCACCCCGTCGCTCCCATAATCCCCCGCGCAGCCGCATTCTGGACCAACTGCAGCCTCTAAATGAATGATTGACAATCGAGGTTGATAATGTAAAGATGGCAGCTTTGATTGTGTAGGTATCATTTTGGTTCTCTTTTAACATCCTCTCCCTGGGATTTGCCATAAGTAGTTGAGAAATGGGATGCAAAGGAAGCTGTAGTACCCAGAGTTAGTCATGAGCAGGATGTAGGAAAGATGCTTCAAATGTGAAAGCAGGAGTGAAATAATGTGATTAGATCATAGACTGAGATGAGACACTTCTTAGTAGACAAAGGGGAACACAGAACCGGGGACCTTCCAAAGCGATCTGAGTGAGCACTGAATCTTGCAAAGAGGTGGAGAGAGAATGAAATATCAGACTTTGGAAAAGATACGTAAAAATATGGTGTTGTGGATGTTAAACCTCAAACTAGTGGACAAGGATCAAATTTAAGTAGTCTGCTTGATGCAAAGAGATTGATCGACTCTAAAATTAAAACCTTGAGTAGGAAAAAGAAAATGAGAAGAGTTGGTTAGGAGCTGCAGTGGCACCGTGGTTAGAGTGCAGTACTGCAGGCTACTTCTGCTGCCTGCCGGCTGCCTGCAATTTGGCAGTTCAAATCTCACCAGGCTCAAGGCTGACTCAGCCTTCCATCCTTCTAAGGTGGGTAAAATGAGGACCCAGATTGTTGGGGGCAATATGCTGACTCTGTAAACCACTTGGAGAGGGCTGTAAAGCACTGTAAAGCGGTATATAAGTGTTATTGCTATTAGCTTAGAAATGCAATTTAAGAAAATAAGTTCTAAGTCCCCTTATCCATAAATGATTTGTATTAAAAGGTTTTAGAGAGAAAAACTTGTCAGACAGAAAAAAAATAAATTTTCTTTTAATTGTTCCACGCATTCCTAATCAACCCTATTTGTGAAAGCAGGCAGCCCAAAAGTAGAGAATTAAAACATATGCAGAGCACGTTTCTCCAAGTATTCTTAATGCCGCTGAGGTTAAATCAAAATTCTGCAAAGGAGAATCCCCATACAAAATTGCTGATTGATAATTTGTTAAGAAGTTCAGTTCGATCACCTGGGCCTGAGAGCAAATGACATGTTTTTATTCCATGGCATTTGCTAATTAGATTAGAAATGCCAGGCTTTTGTATTATAATCAATAATGCTTTGTGACTGGTCATTGTAATTTTTTAAAAAGGCTTTAAGCCTGAATGGTATGGTTAGAGATATGCACCGCCTTGGATTTGATTTTCAAAAGGTGCTTTAGAGTAGTGTTGGCCTGCAGTTCTTTAAAACAGATGGATTTTATTTTTATTTTTAATATGACCTACCTTTATTATTTTTTTATGAACAACTCAAGGTGGTGAACATACCTAATTCATCTCCTTCCTCCTATTTTCCCCACAACAAGAATCCTACGAGGCGAGTTGGGCTAAGAGAGAGAGTGACTGACCCATCCAGTTGCTAAGGTGGGACTAGAACTCACAGGCTCCCAGTTTCAAACCTGGTGCCTTAACTTATAGATCAGTGATGGCTAATCGTTTTCTTGTTGTCTGCCGAAAGCGTGCACAACACCATGTGTGCGTGCCGGCATCCATAATGCAATGTGAGTGCCCCTGCGCATGCATGCATGACCCCCATGCTCCCCCTTGCCCCCCGTGCATGTGCACGCGATCTCTCCATGCCCCCCGCCCCCGACGCATGCACGTGTGATCCCCCCATCCCCCATTTTTAGCCTAGCAGGCCTCCCTGCAGCCTCCTGGGCCCAAAAATGGACCATGGGGGGCATGGGATGCACCCCCACACCCCATTTTGGACCTAGCAGCCTCCCTGCAGCCTCCTGGGTCCAAAAATGGGCTGTGGGGGGGCATGCCGCACCCCTCCACACCCCTCCTTGGCCTGTGCATGTGCGTGTGACCCCTTCCCCTGCACATGTGTGCAACTCCCCCTGTGCATGCGTGCATGTCTCCTGCATGTGCCCCACCCCCCACGCATCCCAAAAATCAGCTGGCCGGCAGAAGGCGCGTGCACGCATGCACGGTGGAGCTGAGCTGGGTGACGGCTTGCATGCCCACAGAAAAGGCTCTGCATGCCAGCTGTGGCACATGTGCCATAGGTTTGCCATCATGGTTCTAGACCAAAGGACGTCTTCGGACAGCACTGGCTCTTCGGCTTTGAAACGGAGATGAACACTGCCCCCTAGAGTCAGGAATGACTAGCACATATGTGCGAGGGGAACCTTTACTGTTATCTTTTATGAAACAGCTCCAGAGGCCAGAGTTGGATTCCTTATAAAACACCAAGACTTGGATTCCAAGTCTTGGTGTTTTATAAGGTTTTCAGACAGATGCTACATTAACTTCTGTATACTCTGAAGCAGGGGTTCCC